GTCCACAAACGAAATAGTGTATATGTCTACTCTCTTGTGAACTGGCCCAGAAGCCTCGACCGTTACTATCCAAATGGGATTGTCATACAATCTTGAAGGACAGGACAACCTTCTTCACCAGCTTACTCACACAATTGTTGAGCTTACTTCCATTTCGAGCTAAAGTGTTGCGAAATGGAAAATTAATTGACTTCTTCAGAGGGATGCTAGGGCAACTTCGGCTTACGGCCTTCCAAAAATATACAAGGAAGGAGTTCATACAAGATTGAGTGTTAATAATAAGATACTGTGATGCATAGGATCTCACGTTTCTTATGTAGACAACTAAGGAAATTGGCTGAGTATTGGAAATATTTAGTAAAGAATTCATATGAATTTCCTAGATTAATAGATCAACAGAGTATTAAAGAGGAAGATCTTTTGGTTAGTTTTGATGTTGTATCAATGTATACTAACATCCCAGTTCAGAAAGCTATTGAAGCACTTACATTCAGCCTAGATGAACACCCAGAAATTATTAGGGAGGGAAATCGGAGCAAAGGCTCAATCTTAAGACTTTTTAATCTATCCATGAGCAGCACATACTTCACCTTTAATGATAAAGTTTAGGAACAGGTGCAAGGCCTAGCAATGGGATCTTGCTTGGCTGCCATTTTGGCTAATAATTACATGTCAATAATGGAGGAACATTTCATGGAAGAGGTAATATTGACACTCAAATTGTTAATTAGATATATGAATGACTACTTTGCCATATAGCAGCATGGCAAGGATAGTTTGGATAATTTCTTTTTTTTAAATTAACTAGAATGACTGCAATATTCAGTTGACAATGGAGATGGAGGTCAACAATAATTTACCCTTTTAAGATGTATTAGTGATCAGAGCAGGTGAGAAGTTAAGCAGGGATGTCTATAGACGCAAACACATGGTGGCTTTAAACTTAACTTCTTCTCCAATCATTTTTATAAAATAAAGGTTGGAGTTTCAAAATCTATGATTATTCAGAGCATAAGACTAGCCGATATAGACTATTGTGACATTGAACTAATCGGCTTAAAATAATATTTCTTGAGAATAATTATCCCCTAGATTTGATTGAAAATAACATTAGATTAATAAAGAATAGCTTTTTGAATGGTGAATACGTAAGGAGAGATTGTATGACAATCCCATTTCGATAGTAACGGTCGAGGCTTCTGGGCCAGTTCACAAGAGAGTAGACATATACACTATTTCGTTTGTGGACAGAATCTAGAGACTACAAGTAAATCAGTTGTATGATATGTATTCACCATATTTCGTTTACGATGATGAAGGACTGGTAGTTGAATTTTCCCACAATAATATGAGTAGAGCTGTCGTTTCCATTTAATTTCACATAGCCTTGTTTTCCCAAAAGTTGTTCTCATTCAGGTTAGACTGCAGTTTTGACCTCACTTAGGTCTTATCAACACCCCCAGCGGTAGTTGAATCATGACAATGCAGCGTGTAAGCTCGACACGCTAACCACTCAGCCACATTGCCACGAATGATTTCGGATCACAGGGCAGATGTGCATTTCAAGACCAGGCATTTTTCCATATCACATTCTTTGGTGAAAGTATCGATGAAGCAAAGTTATATTTGCTATAACAAAGAATTACATT